TGTGAAGCCCTATGATGATCGTACTTCTGCATGGTCGAACAGCTCGGGAATCCGCGCTACATAGCTCCTTCACAAGCACATACAATGCTCTCAATAATGCTCCCTAAATCCAGCTGCCTATCGCTGATCGTGACATGAGCCAGGCTGGAAAGGAGCGCTGTCGTCCAAGCTGCCTCAGAAAACTTGTATCCTCTATGGAACAGCGTAGTTGTCCCTCAATCGAGGTGATGTGTGACGATCGACGTGAATCTACGACCTGTGCGGTTGGTGAAGTGAGCCATTGCCTGATTGCCTGTCAGTTGGCTGCGATGAACAATGATCGACGTGAAATCTAGGCTGACAAAGGCTGAGCTGGTTGGTGGAGACATTTCAGCTTCAATTTTCCGCTTTGTTTGCTCACAAACACTGAATTGGGGTGCTTCGCTTCGGCAGCACCAGTTCGGAGAAGTGGAAGGCTTGGATCGCTAAGTATAACAAAAGCGGCACAGTGTATTCCCTTATTGCATTGCACTACTGAGCGTGGTCAGGTGTGCTGCATAGCGGGCAACTGCAGGGGGGAAGGGGCCTGGAAGTCTTGCTGCATTGCGCTTGAATGGGGTCTGCCGGCGCCACAGCGTGGCGACTGACACAAACCCTGGGACCAACTTTCCTATTGGGTTAGCCGTGCGCAGGCATACTGTGGCAACCAATCAACCAATTCCTGAGCCTTTACAAAACTTTTGGTCAGTACCATAGTGTGAGCTTAAGCATTGTTAGGACATAAAACAAGGACTGACATTCAGAGATGGGAGGGGGCCATCCGAGCGTGGCGTCCATCAAACAGCAGGCGCAATAGAGTCAGCGTAGTGTCTTACGCTTCCACACATGCGTGGGTTCACCTTCTCTGTCAACAATGCCACAATGCTGCGGCGAAATTGCGCGTGGAGGTTGCGTGGCTATCCCGTGACGCCGTCTGTTGCCACGATTTTGAGCTCGAATGGCTGTTCGCTGTTTGAGGCCCTGACCAAAGGATGACTTGCTGCATCAACACATTTAGGAGTGTGGCATCACGCCCGATGCCACAGCAACGAGCCCCGCTGGGGCTCTTCTTGAGCAATGTCACGGGAACGGAGTGGGGTGGTGTGGTGGGGAGTGGGGTGCGGTGCTGCAGATTATGCCAAGATGTTCGTCGAGTGGGAGGTGAGTCATGGGGAGTAGGTCTCGTTATGACGTGGTCGCTGTGGCTGAGGAGTTCCCTTTCATGATGCGTCGCGGCTGGCTGCATATCCGCGCACACACAGGGCCTTTGAATGGTGAATGCACACCGCCTTGATCATTGGGCAATTGCCTGCGTCGACGAATGCAAAGAACAACCAGATGGCTGGAGAGGGCAGCAGGCGAGAAAAGAGAGCATCGTTGCTGGCACTGGCGAAGTCCTGCTCATTTCGCGTCGTCTAACTCGGGCATGTGCATAGAATGTGTCTGAAGCCATTGTTGCCCACGAGGGGGCCGCGCATTGTAAGACATGTCATATGCGTGCCAAAAATGCGTTAATGTGTTTTCTTTTCATGCAATGACACTTCTACACCTCTCAATTGGCTTAAGCAGCATGTCAATGGCGCAACAATGGTTGCAGTGGGAGACGTTTGCACAACCGTATCTCTGGTTGGCCCTTTCTTCATCAGTGGAGCGGCGTGGGCGCGGCAAGGGCGCGAAACCACTTGCCAAAGGCAACCATCGAAGCCAGTACTCAGAAGACGATTGTTGGAGATGGGGCCATGCCATCACCCCCACCAGGCAACGATGACTTAAAAGGTTGTTGGCCACTTGGCCGTGCATCCTTGATAGGAAACACAACAACCGTCCATTAAAAAAGATACGCCAGTATCAGATCCAGCCGCTGCACATGCCAGCAACATCATCTCCAAATCGACGACATTCAGCAACGCCACATTGCATCTGCACAAAACAGTGCTGTGCACGATTGCTGCTTGGTTGTTCACCTGGACAACAGGAAGCACACTATTCCAAAACCCAGCTGTGTATTGGCGTGGAACTTTGATTCTATGTTTCTTCACATGATACACAACAAAAAGCGTTTTCTATGTTCTTCTTTTTCTATGCCTTCACATTGGCCTTTCAATGTTCCCCACATTCCGATACCCTGGATGATTGCCCATAGATGGGTTAAAAGCCTGCGACCGTTCCTCAATATGACCAACTGTCCACTTTTCGGCAACCCTGCAGCACTGTATGCGGCTTCCACGGCTTCACAACGCAAGCGAAACTGACGTCTGTGCAACACAGCACCCGTCTGCAACAGACACGAGGCTCAAAGGGGTTTTGACCACTTGGCCATACTGTGTGTCCCCAGGGGAAGAAAACAACCCTGTACGGCAATGTAGTCAGCAACTTCAGATCCAGCCACCACGCGTGCCAGCAATTTTTGCGTCCATTGCCTTCAGATCTATGGCTGCAGAATACCATTGTGCATCTGTGCAAAACAGCACCATGTTCTTTTGCCACATTGTAGGTATGCCTGCGGACAAGATACACTGTTTCCGATTCGCCTGCAGTACATTGACGTGGAACTCTGACGACATGCTCATTCTCAATGGGAACCAGATGAACAACGTTTTCTACTTTCTTTCATATACAACAAACTTGTGTCTCCCACATCGTCAAACCCAGAATGATCGTTCACGAATTGGATGAAAGTGTGCAACTACTCCCAATTTGAGCAACCGGTCACCCACTGACAATCCTGGAGGACTTCCAACGGTACGGGAACTGACATCTCCTCCGCGCCCTTGACCATTTCTCTTCTGGAAGACTGGGCACAGGGACGCTGGGGCTGCACATCTCGCCATATCAATTCTAGTATCGGTTCTCCATCCTGTTGGAGGTCCTGTGCACACTTTAGTTGCCATTGTACCCGACAGTGTCACACATTGTGTCTGGCTATCTGCGAGCTCCAAAGCATCCCTCTTGCTCTCCTCCAGTCCTCCACACTTACTTCCCTCCAGCATTCTCACGACTGGCCTTTGCTCCAGGTCTTCGAACCAAAAGCTGCAATTGCCATCATCGCCAAACCCAAAGATCACCACAAAAGCTGTGGCACACAGGTTTCACACAAGTCCACTTGAAGGCGCAGCGGTGGTGTGGACCCATGCGGGGGTAACCCACGAAAACCAAGGCCCATTGTCACCTCTTGACACCTCGCTCATGCCTGGACCATTCCTCATCTCCAGACATGCATCTGAGCCAGCATAATTCCCGACTGCCTCGCCAGACTGCCTGTCTGGCTTGACGCTGGAGCTCCTTTTCTCTTGGTCGTTTTCCTTTGGTTGAAAGTGGACAGTGTTAGTCCGGTTGGGTGACAAGATTCCAGAATGCTGAAGCCTAGGAATCCACTGGCAAGGGATGGAGCTGGATCCTGCTCTGGGTGAACGGTCGTGATCGGCTCTGATTCACAATGACAGCAGCAGTCAGGCCCACTTGAAGGACAAACTAAGTACGAACCAGCGTTCGTTGGCCACCATTTCAGCCACTCAAAGGCAGGCAGTTTTGGCATTGAATGTACTTCAAGAGACAACGCCCTGCCCTGTGCTTCCCTGAACACTGGCACATTGCCGCCAGACCTCAGTCTCGCTATCTAATCAGACTTAACTACAGTTGCCAAAGACAAAGGCCCCCTTGTCACCTTTGCCTGTGTCGGGCATTGTTCAGATGCAACGATGTTCGAACAACACTTGTTCTTGCCCCAAAGTTCCTATTACCTCTGTTCCAAAAGTCCTGTCTGTTATCCAAATCACACAAGTGGAGGTCAAAACGTGCGAGTAAAAAAATCGACCAGGTCAACTTCAATGCGCCATGTTCATAGCTATCTGTAGAGCCCCCAAGCGTGGAAAACATGATGCTGTTCTTGAGATATGCCGAGAGGAGCACAGGCACCACTTTTCCTTTCGTTGGGACCTAGAGAGGGGTATGGAGCGCTAGTCTTGCCCTTTGAAGGACGTGGATGGAGCTGAGTAGTCTCTAGAAAATATGAATGGCCTGGTGGCTTGGTATAAAATGAAGATTCGGCTAATCTAAAAACTGTATCCACAGAGCAAAAGATGTGGGCTTGCCGCAGATTTTCAGATGTCAACAGGAATTGTGCATTGGTTACGGCTGAAGGCCAAAAGACACTTAGATTAGTGCAATTGCATTGACCTAACCAGTGCAACAAGGTGAGGAAGCCTGTGCATACTGATGACGCTACCCCGAGAATGGCCTAGGTTAGTGACAACAGGGCAAATCGTTGAAATTGACAATTTCAACGCTGGAGTCAACACTGCGGAAGAGATGGTCCACCAAGCGTGTGACTGCGATGGTGCCAAATTCTGAGAGTTTGTAGCATCGCCTATGTATTTCCTGCAACAAAGTTCTTGAATTATTCGGGGGACACACAGGGGGGATAAGGTGAGCACAAAATTATGGGAATTGAGGCCCTGACGAAGATGTGTGGGGACGCTTTCGATAAGGCTTCGCAGGTCTTGCTGTATGATGATGACTAATGTAGCCAAGATCCCCTCTACCCTAAAATCGTCCAAGGAATCCGAATCTGGTGACAGATTTACTAATTGAGTTGATCTTGCAAAGCTATGGCAGGATTAGATAATGGACAAGACTTATGGAATGGAGGTAGCATAACATGCGCACGATGATGCATCAAAGAACGCAGACTTGCAAGTCTACCACAATTCCAGCATTAAAAGAACTCAGCAGAGTTCTTCATTCCTGAGATGTGTCAGCAGCGTTGCGCTCAGGCTCAGCAAGTCCTGTTCCAGCAATGAGGTCCAGGCAGTCCATAAATTGTGTGCTCAGATGAACAGGGTGGCAAACCAAAGGTTTCTTGACGCACCTAAGAGAGTTCTTTGTCCTCAAAAACTTTCCGCATTTGGCTTTCATGCAGTGCCAGAAGTGACCCAGGAAGGCCCAGCATGACCAGTATGCACTGAAGCCAGTGGAGCCATTTGTCACAGAATGGCATCGATTTGGAAACCAGCTCTGTTGAAAACCATGGCCAGATGATATATAGCATCTGCGCAATGTTCAACGGAACGTGCAGTATGACCCGAATCTGCAATATGCACAAATATCATCATGCCTCTGTCCAGTGCCTTCAAGACCTGCAAAGCGTCAATGATTCAACAATAATTCCAAGAGCGCACGCCAGTTATCGCAACAATTGGGCAGGATGGCATGGTCACAACGATTGCTGTCCTGCAGTCAGCAATATGACTGCAAGGTACATGCAACAAGTCATGGCATGGTGAGAGGTGTCATATAATTGCACGGTATCATATTGGTATTCATGGACATACAATGCCAATGCACTCGAACGATTTTGTAAGCACTCATGTAATCAATCTGTGTTGGAACCGCTCTCTCGTCCTGCTGCGATGGCATGGTCAACAGGATGTGTTTCCTTCAACTGCAGTGGGCTAAATACTGGCAATGCACTGCCTTAGCACCTCACAGCCAATGCAAGCACTTTCATGTGCAACAGCGCATGCTGCCAGAGGTCTTTTGATGCCTCATGCAAACCGTCAGTACAAAACAAAGGTGGCTGGGCACCAGGGGAGAAATGAAGAAGAAAGCACAATTCCTGATCCACGATCAAACGAGGCTGCCCGGGCATGGGATAGGAGACTGCATCTGCAGAATTTTGTACTCGCCAAAAGGGTTGCTCAAAGGACAAGAACATGGGGGTGGAGGGCGTATACCACAATGATTACAATGATAACACAGAATCAAGGTGTCACACAGAGAAGGCCTGGCACATGCGCACACTAGCAAGTGCTGCCTGGTGCAAAGGGACTGTGAAAGTGGAACTGGCAGTGACTGTCTTGTATGAAATTATGGGCATACTTGGGATTTGTTTGTAGTAGCACGGTGGCTACCTGCCCCTTGTGCCTGGATAGTGAGTCAGTTGATGGGATGGACACCTAGTGCACGTTCGTTATTCCACCAATCAGACATGACAGGCTCCTCCCCTTGCACCCGCCCAGCAAAATGGCTCGTAAGCCTCGCAGAAGTGCCATATGCAACAGACTTGACCACAGCAAGGATGAGCAGACATGTTGGAATACCATATCAGTTGCGTGGTTGACCACAAATGCCGCAGACAGATACTCTGTATTCAACTAGTCAAGGCTGTAGTTGTCCCTGTGGATTGGAAGCATTCAGACAAATTCTTATCCAAGTCTGTTTGCCACCGTTTCTTGAGCGCTAGGCTTTGATTTGTCCCCCCGATCGGCACTAACAGTCCAGTGAAGGCCACAACCTCAGTGCCCAAAGTGGACAGGCTGTGTGAGCCAGAAATGCCAATTCTGGGCAGGAAATATGTTGGACCTGGAAAACCCTGTCATCGCCTTGAAGGCACAAGAATAGTATTTCTTCTGAGGGACAATGCAATAAAAGCAAAATTCAACCCCAAGCTTGCAGCTTGGAAGTGATGCACCAGATGGCTGTTTTCATCTCCTTCACCAGAACCAGCATCAGCGACATTGAGGCAAGGGGAATGTGGTTAGTCTCTGAATAACAGGGTGACCAAGTTTGTGCAAATCTAGGATGGTCCTGATACTCTGCTGTGGCAAAGGACATTTCAAGAGGGCTGGAACATCAGCCCCTTGCTTGCTGTAGGCTACAATTGACTAGCATGGGACTCTGCACCAATTAGAAATTGACAGCCATGGGCCCTTGTGCAGAACATTCTGAACCACAACGTCCAACCTCCAATTTCGACATGAAAGACAGCAGAGGGGACAAGGGGATTGAGAGCTACCTATTTCAGGTTCTGGCCATAAAGGTCACCTGAGTTTCTGTACCCCCGGGCACAATCAACATGGGTAGGTTAGGGGCACACACCAGTTGAAGCTCAGCACACTATCACAGAGAATAAAATACAATCATTTTGTAACATTTTTGAACAGTGGCACACACAGGACAGAACATAAAATACATGTTGTACGTAGCATTCGATGCCATTAGACGTGCCAAATCGATTAAGGGGACAAGGCTGTGTACGGAGTGCAATGCTCCTCAGAGCTCTCACAGTGCATCTGATGGAGGATGCAAGGCCATGTTGCACCTAGCATCAAGTCAGCCATCAAATACCAAGGACATGGGAGTGAGTGAAAACAACAGTTGAATGGGTGGCAAACCTTTGCTCCAATGCTCTCGATCAGAATAGGTACAACACAGAAGAAAAGAGGGTCCAATATCCTCCAGGTCGTCCCAATGTGCAGGGCAGCAACCTGGTCTGTAAAGGATGACACAAGATAGCACGCCATAAGCTGATGTGTCGCACACATCAACTCCCTGCATCACAAGCCACAATGTCAACGTCTGTTGGAAGTTCGAACTGACAACCATGCAATGCAATTGAAGATGGCCATGTTTTGTTGCACAAAGCAAGTGGATGCTGCTCATTTGTACACAAGCCACAAGTTTGGGGTGCTGAGTTAATTGGACCCCACTAGTCACTGAGTTGGCTGCAGTGGCGAATTACCACACTTTGATAAATGCCAGCAATGTGGTGTCCAGTGCTCCCCACAATAAAGAACAGTGCCACTGCAGACGTTGCCAATCGCGCAGAATGCAGAATGCCCAAAGCGCACCAGGCAGGGGTTTCGAAACAGAGCAAGTGCACGCCAAGGCAGAGGGCAACAATCGTAGAAGCATACAACGCCAAATGCAGGAGGGTTTGAAGAAGCCGCAGATTGTTTTTAGATTGATATTGATGCACTGCAAGTGCATGCAAGACATCATCAGGGTACATGGATGTCCATGACCACACCCCTTCAGGCCATGTGACAGATCACATGCCCAGATGAGGTGCTCCAGCATTCTCCTCAATGTCTGGTACTTGCAACTAGCTCAGTGGTACCCCACAATGCCCTTTCATCAGGACAGCCCAGACATGCAGTTGGTGCTGCCTTGGGACAGCTCTCTTGCACTTTACAAAACTTTCATGGACATGCACCCTGGGACACAGTAACAAAAGGGGTGCTGCCTCTAGGCACAGGCAGACAGGGAAAGGCTGGGGGAATTGTGGTCCAGAGACTTGCACACCTTGGGTGCTTATTCAATGCATGGTTGTGTGTTCCTGCTCTGTCCACAATCTACTGGTCTTGTATGTGTCGGAGGCTGTGCTGTACAAAACTATTGTTAGTGTGTTATTGAGAATCGAACCAGGGCACCATTATCAGTTAAAACAATGCCCTCCCACCACCTTGGAGCATAGATAACTACAGCAGACAAGGCAGCACAACAGATTGCTGCACCTGTGGCCTAGCAAACTCTGGAGGTCTTGCTGAAGCTGCCGAAATGGCCACATTCTGGAGTCTCATAACATGGATTGGACAAACGCATTCAGTTGAGCTGAAAGATCACTGCTAGGCTTTCAGGACCCGGTTCTTCATAATTGATGTTGCAATGATACTTGGCTTCTTTCTGATGCTGCAAATTGTGTTTCCAGCACCTATATAAACTTCTGACAGGAAGCACATGATCAGCCTTAGGATGTGAGGACTAACACAGCAAATACCTGCACAGCCACTGCACCAGTTCCCCACCTGTACTTATAGTTGTAGGGCTGTGGTAGGGCACTGCATGCGATCGGCATCCATATGAGCACAAAGCCCAGGGCAAGAATCTGGCGTGAACCACATGGCCATGGCTGCTGCAGAAATGAGCAGGCGCAGGTGTTTGGCTCTGGGTGTGGCTCAGGGTTGCAGATATTCAGGTGCACGCCCAGCAGCCCAAAGAGGAAGAGCGAGTAACCAATGAGGTGCCATTTCATGTATGATGTCTCCCACTGTAGGAACTGGCTCTCAACAGCGTCGTCCCGGAATCGAAAGGGGAAGCTAGTCTGCAAGTAGCGCTGCTCATCCATCAGTGGAATCTTTGCTACAAAAAGGAAGACAAGAAGTAATGGGCACCCCCTTGCCATCAAGTTCATATGAGGCTCCTTTGCAAAACGGAAAATGATGCAGCAAACAGAGACCAGAGTGTATCACTACAGAACATGCAGCACAAGCTTCACTGCATGCTACTCTGGTGACCTCTGAGCACTGGCAGCAGCAACCGGCACAAACACATGTTGCCATCCATATTGTTATTGACTGGGTGTGTAGCTTCTTGGCAACCCTTCCACACTGTGTGAACCCAACACCAGGTCTCAAGAAGCCGAATTTGCAGTCTACCAATGCCCCTGACACCTGCACATTGTGCACTATGACAGTCACAAATGTACTGTCACAACATGATGATTCATAGCATATATTTTCAGGTATATTTATGACATACTCATGATTGCAGGATGTGCAGGGGAGTCTATTGATAGGTGTGGGTTTGCTTTTGCAGGGCGAGCACCTTGATGACCAGCTCGTCACCAGTAAACAATGATATCAGCTGGCGCAATTGAGAATTGAGAGGTGGCGAGGACGCAGTTTAGTGCTGTGACTATTGCTGACTCTGGAAGGCAGTGTGATCTGTCTTCTTTGTGCGCAATAGGAACATAAGTAAATTGCTACACTGTGCACTGCCCCTGATGAATTCACAACTCTGTGCGCAGGACCTTCGTCAACAGCATTTTGCACAGCTCCCCAAGCAGGCAGGTTCCTGTTGTGCAGTGTAGAACAGGCTGAGCAATGTAGCCAGGCAACAAGCATCAACAAGCCACAATGAGATTGGCAGTGAAGAAAGTGAGCCACACCCAGAGTTTGCTGCTGAAGTTATTACCTGTTCTGTCGATGGCCGTGGAAGGCTGTCCCTCCTTGCAAAGGCTCCTGGGTTGGACTACAGAAATACAGGGTACACAGAGCTCACTCAGCAACTAAGTCCAGTCTGCACCTGTTGCACAGTGCTTTCCACGTTGAATGTGCACAGACACACACACAAATCTGGGAGTGCATCCTCTGTACTGTGAATTATGGTCACACCCACAAACCTTGCCCATGCTGGCTGGACTTCAGCACAACAATCTGTTTCATGATGCAAACATCCGAAAAGCCTGTGTGGCACCACATTGATCATTATGTGGCCAAGCAATGCATCTATTGGTGCATGTTGCGAACTGTTTATGCAGGTATTCACTCCCAAATCGTCATTTTCTGTTCATCAACAAAGAAGCCTATGCAATATCAAGGTCTGTGAGTGCGAAGTGCTCTAAGCGCTCAGCGTCTCTGTCAGTCGACAAAAGCAACACTGCAAGGGAAGCACAGAGAGAGCCATGTGGCATATTGTGGTGCAGAGAATGTGAATCCTTGCTCGCTGAATCACTGCAGACAGGGCAAATCACTGCCCTCAGCACAAGTGGGCTTACCAGGTGCTCAAGCACTTGAGCGGCCACATGTTCTGGATAGAGGGCGCTCAGCACCTCATGCGGTTGAACTCCCTGAAACAATGCCAATAGAATTACCCTCCTACAACTCCTTCTAGGTTCCACAGCAATGCTTGCCATATTTCAGCACGTTGCCTCTCCCTGGGATGACCACTCCTTTCCAGGGAATCATTGCAGAGCACAACACCACTGGTGTCACAGACATTTGTTGTCCCTAGCATATCACCCTTGCTCCCCTTGCATTCAGTGACAAGGTTCTGCAGGAGGCGTGGAACTGTGAAGGACCAGCACAATGCTGGTCAAGCAGTGTGTGAAGGCACAGGCATGTCGCATTGGATGCTTGTGCGGTTTGAGTATGACCCCATCAAGCTAAAGCTGCGTGCTCAACACCAGATGCAACGCCGGGGTTTCTGTTGGAGCTCTTGCCAACAGCAATGGAAGCAGCTGTATTCTCTTTTTCCCACTGGACAATTCCACCATGCAATCTCTGCTGCATGGTCATTGCCACTTGCTCTGATCGCTGGCGTTACATGCGACTGGGCAACTGGCAAAAGCAGCATGCGTCACTCACAAACACCCCACGATGCCTCACAGAACCATCACATCGCTATGGTGCGCCACCACACCATACACTTCCAGTCAGTGAGTTAAACTAAGAAAACACCCAGGTCCAAACGCCGTCCCCACCCATCAGAAACGGCTGTGGGTTGTTTCCGATGCACCCTGAGCCGGCTCGGGGATGCAACCAATAGAAACCGCTTGCAACGGGGCAGGATAGGCAAGGCGGGGCCCAGAGGGGCGGTGGTGGCTGCGGGGCCCTGCACGGGGAAAACAGCAGAACGGCGCCGCGAGCGAATGCAGTCTCCCTGTCCCACGACAGCCCTTGTCACGCAACACGTCGGAACCCCGTCGCAGTGCACGTCGCCCACGTCAGCCACCATCCATCACCCACCGCATTGTGCAGCGTGTTCAGAACGGGAGGCGGAAGAGAGCAGCGCATGAATTCCTCCATGACCTGCACCCAGACACGCAATTCAACACGGGCCACTTCGAGACCGAGTTGCAGAAAGCGTGCCGCGCACCTCGGGAGACACCTGGGAACCCCCCGCCACCCCTTCCTTCGCCCTTACCCGCCAATTCTCAATCAGGACCCGCCATGAGCCTCCGGCGGGCTCGGAAATCGTCACGCCACAGGCTGGAGAAAATCATTTCACCCTGGCCCCAACCGCTTTCGCCCATTCATCCCCTCCTCATGGCGCCAAGCGCGAGCGCTGGATTGACCAACGCCGATCAATTTCCAGCAGGCCCTGCGCAGAGTGCGCGAACCATCCCCACGCACACCCTCTGGGGCGCGGAAAATCGCCGACGGACGCGTGCGAGGGCCGCGCCATGCCGCTGGCCCCGCCGACGGCACTGGTGCTGATCCGCATTCAAGCCGGTCTCTTCACCCCCGCCACAGATCCCCTCCCCACCGCCTGGGCAGCGTCCGGCAAGGCGGGGGGCAAGCTGGCCCACCTCCAATCCGCGACGCCCCATTTTCGTCGCGGCAACGACCGCGACCCACCACATTCTGCAGCCCCGGCCCGTCAGAGCCGGCGTCCGTCATGCTCATCTCCGCACAGCCGGCATCCGCCCCTCCGTCGGACCTCGGGCGGCCGATCGCTTCCGGCGGCAGCCCCTCGCCGCTCTGCCTCCCTCTCTGCGGCGCACGAACAGGCCCCGGCGCGCGCCGCCCACTCCAGCGGTGGATCCGCCGCGAAGCGCGACGGCAGTGTGCCGCAGGCGCACCGCAGGGCGCAGGCCAGCCGGGGGCCGACGCCTCTTCACATGCAAACCAGGTTCCAGTGTAGGAGTCCACGTAGGAAAAGGGGGCGGGGAAGGGTGAATATTTCTTTTGCCGCCAGTGGACTATTGTCGCACCATGCTGTCGGCCTTTGGGCGGCTCAAGTGCGCAATGAGCCTTTGGGCTGCGGCGACCCCGTGGGTACGGAAGGCATTCACGACGGTCACGCGCGGGGAAGACACATCTGTCACTCACTTCCGAACCCATCATTACAAACGAAGTGAGTGGTATTTGTAGTGCGATTGTGCGACAGTTCATGAGTTGTTGTCTCCAAAATACCCACTCTGGCCACTTTCACGAGCTGGCACTACGGTTACAAGACTGTGGGCAGGCCCACGTTGGCCGACGTAGGGCTACGGCCGATGCTTTTACTTGTGTAGGAATGCAGTACACGTCGATGGTGGGCGTGGGGCGAATTACGTGGGCGACACTTGCCGACGTGTTGGTTTGAAAACGCTCCCACCAATTTCCGACGCGTTCGGGTGCCGATGTACGCCCACGCTGCCCACCCCCCGAACGTCTCACCATGCTATTCCACGTTGTACACGTGTAAAAGTGCCACTATTGGCCGACGTACGCCCATGCCCTGTCACTCCAACATTTGCCCACGAGAGGGCACGTTGCACACGCGTGGATGCCGTCTCCTGGCCAACGCCGCCATGGCCGGGTTCGTGTCCCTTTCTCATGCCAAGTTTCTATTCCCGCCGCCAAGACCAATTATGATCCATTGCCGACTAGCCCAGCAACTACCCGCGTACACTACCCACTCCCACTCTCCCTCACTCCCACACTTCCTCAGCTCCTATTCCCGCCGCCATCCCCAACTATGATCCAATCCCAAAGCCGTCCCCGTTCGTTCACTATAGCCAATTCCCCTTAACTGGCTCCCCTATCATACGCACAACACCACTCCCCACAGCACTATCAGCGTGAGCAAAAATCGATCATCAGCCATTGCCCCCATTCAGCTTGATCAGATCATACACAGATGCCGCCATTCGTTCCGCCTCTCAACGGAAAAATGCTCCCCGGCTCTGATGCGCCTTTATCTTTGAGCCTTCACCTTCTCGGCCACCTTATTGGTGGGCGACCGCTGCCCACTCCGTCATCCTTGGGAGCAGCTCTAGATCTAGCTTGACGCTTGATGCCACACTTTCCAACCACCGGCGCTCCCGTCCTTGGATCCGCGGTGCACAATTTGACGTGGTGTCTCGCAAAAACCTTCGTATGTCCTTTTCCCGGCACCTTCACTCCAACCGCTCCTTTTGTGCCTACCCACTTGACGGTCACCGTCTGCCACCGTGGCAGGTCTTGCCCATCGTGGCGCCAGCTTGTGGGCTCTCTTCTCTACCCAATAAAGCACAGGATCTCCCGGTTGCAGGTTGTTCGTGTTCCTCCGCTCCCAAGCACGTGCAACCTCCTGCCACTACAACACGTGTTGTTGGCGCAGCTGCTCCAACTTCGCCAATCTCGCAGCATTGTCCCTATCAGTGCTCTCGCCCTCCTTTGGTGGTGATGGCGCTATGTCACACTCAGCCAGCACATTGATTTCCATTGGCCCCCTAGGCAGAACTCCGTACAACAGTTCAGCGGGTGATGCATTTCGTCTCTGCGTGCGGCGTGTGTTGATGGAAAAAAGTGCTCCCACCAACAAATGATCCCCAACAATCTTCCTCGCACATTTTCCTTAAATGCACCAATACCTCCTAATTGCCCTGCTCGATCCTCCCATGCGATGGGGGGTAATAAGCTACCGACCAGCTTTGTCGAATCCCCCATTTCTCGCACAATGTTTGGAATGCGCCGTGAAAGTGTGCGCCATTATCCGCATGTACTTTGTGCGGGATTCCAAACT